AAAAAATTCAGTGCAAAAGAGAACCCCCCCCCCAAAAAAAAGCCTAAAAACACACTAAAAATACCCCCAAAACCCAAACCTCTGCTTGGAGAGTAAGACTACTATACAGTTTCTTATGGTCATTTCTATGAATGTCTAATTTTTTTGCACTTGGATGTACATGACTGGGGCATTGCCCCGTAGGTAATGACATACCAATCTACAGAACGTTCACCCACCTTTCTCAGGATGATTACAATGATAAAGCTTTCCCACAATTTACTGCAAACTCAACCAGTTACTTTGATCTCTACCTTATTGGAAGAATTGTCAATACTCATTGCTAGACTTGACAAACTGTCTGTTAGCAGTAAAGCTTATTGACATCAACTTCCAGACAATTAACAACTTCCTTGACAAGCCTCTATTCACCTGTCAGTTTGTGTATAAGAGCCCTGCAAGCAGACTGAATGAATGGCAGGGCTCGAAATACTGGGTGCATGTGCACCTTAGTGCACCCAAATATTTTCGTTGGTTTACATATGTAAAGACATTAAATGTATATTAGTACACAGTGTATTATTAACATCTAAGTTTCAGAAAAAGAATAAAATCATTAACGTTATAGTTTTCATTATTCTTCTTTACTACCAAGCCCCACACCTAGCAGTTCTTCAGAAATGAAACATAATTAGTTTTTGCTGACATTCTACATATTTTATCTTACATGGTGCACCCAAAACATTTTGTGCACCCAATTTTTAAAAAGATAAATTTCGAGCCCTGAATGGAGTAGCTGTGTGCCGTTGTACTTGTGTGTTGTAGTTACAGTTGCTCGGTGTGGAAACAGGTGTCCGCCCCACGGTCCGCTCCCAGTGGGCTGACTGTGTTTTCTCACCACCACCAAGATGTTGTCACGTTATCTGGAGATTGTGGCCCTTTGTGGTGGAGAGGAGGAAGGTTAAACATGCCAAAAATGTGGACCACATATATGTATATGGAGAGAGACCTGTATAACAGTTTGCTATGTATACATTTTCTGATGCTGTGTGATGACTGCATGATAATCAAATGGATCCTAATTTTGCAGTATTCAAAAAAGTTTGATTGGTTTGATTGGTCACAATTGATTATTAGATTAATGAAGGGAAAACTTTGTATTAAAACAGAGCATGGTGTGAGTAAATTACACATTGCCATTTCAGGAATCTTCCCCTGGTAATATTAATATATTATTCATATATATCAGGGTGTGTCCAAGGATAAGACAAAGAGTATTCTTACAGGTGAACAAAACTCTTCCTGTGTTGTCATAGCATGCTTATTCTTCAACAATGGTTGTTCGGGGAAGGAAACAAAAGTTGAACTTGTCGCGTGTGAAATGACTTATCACTGGGTCAGAAGTAATCCCTTCAGCAAGCTGGACTTGGTCCAAGTTTGCTGGTTTCCCCATCTGTTGTGTTATATGAAGGACAGGTGCCTGGTGGTGCCAGCCTGGCCAAATTTTCTGCCATGAAACAAAGACCCATAAACGCACCACTGTCCCTGGGGACTTAACAAGATGAATCTCACTGCCAAGTGAATTAAAAGATTCTGGAAGTGGTTTTACTTGAAACGGTCATTACGTATTGATTTCTTGCATTTCCTGGTGCCGTCTTGTTCATTTCTCATGAAGTATTTAGTCATGTCTTTTGTCTAACTGCAGTTGTGTGATAC